AGTTACGTATGATTCTGACCACATGTCCATCTTAAATATGAATTCATACCATCCCAGCCAAGCCGGGTTCCACCCCCCTGCGGTTCCCTTGTAAAAAAACATTATGCGGTGATTTTTTTTGTTCCAACATAACACTTTTTCAGAATCCCTTGTAAAAAAATTGACGAAGTGCACACGCGCGCGTCGTCGCGCGCGCATGCCGGAATCCTTCAAAAACCTTCGGTGCCGGAAGGAATTCGCAATCGAGTTTCCACAAAACATACAAAAACACAGGGTTTCGCAACACTGATTTGCTAAAAAAGCTTCCGCGCGAGCTCTTGCGAAATCTGAAGAAAGCCATGGGTTTTTCAAGATTTTCACAAAATGCTACCAAACCGGCTTGGCGCGCGCGCATGTCGAAATCTGTCGAACGCTCTTGCACGTGTGCCGTCGCGAGAATCCTCTGCAAAAAATAAGACGAAGTGCAGACGCGCGCGTCGTCGCGGGCGTATGCCGAAATCCTTCAAAAACCGTTGGTTTCGGAAGAATTTCGAAATCGTGCGTCCAAAAGACCTACAAAAACACAAGGTTTCGCAACACGGGTTGTCAACAAAATTGTGCGCGCGCGCTCTTGCGTCGTCGTCGTCGTCGTCGTCCTCCCTCCTCCCTCGTCGTCGTCGTCGTCGTCCGGTGTCGTCTTCTGTCTTTCCTCGTCGTCTTTGGCGTCGTCGTCGTTTCCGTCGTCGTTGTCGCCGTGGTCGTCCTTCCTCCCTCGTTGTCTTCGTCGGCGTCTCGTCGTTGTCCCTCCTATTTCGTCGCCGTCGTCGTCGTCGTCGTCGTCGTCGTGGTCTTCACTCCTCCCTCGTCGTTATCCTCCTCCCTCGTCGTCGTCGTCCGTCGTCGGCGTCTCGTCGTCGTCCCTCCTATTTCGTCGCCGTCGTCGTCGTCTTCGTCGTCGTTGTCATCGTCGTCGTCTTCCCTCCTCCCTCGTCGTTGTCGTCGTCGGCGTCGCCGTCCTTCCTCCTTCTTCGTCGTTGGCGTCGTCGCCGTCTTCCCTCCTCCATCGTCGTTGTCGTCGTTGTCGCCGTCGTCGTTTTTTTCTCCTCCCTCGTCGTCGTCTCCGTTGGCGACGTCGTCGTCGTCTTCGTCGTCGTCGTCGGCGTCGTTGTCGTCGTCGTCGGTGTCGTCGTCGTCGTTGTCGTCGTCGAAAACATTGGAGACGTCGTCGGTGTCGTCGCAGTCGCTGTCGGCGGCGCCGTCGTCGTCGATGTCGCTGTCGTCGTCGGCATCGGTGTCGTGGCCAAGTGCCACGCAGTACCTACCGTCACGGTCTTGTCTGAAGATGTCTTGCGACCAAGTTGCGGGTGGGAGGGTGGGATGTTTGCACGAGCAGTGGAGAGGACAGCTTCAAGACAGTCGAAGTGGGTTGCACAACGTAGATGGCACCACGCAGGTTACACAACATAGATTGCGCGGCATCCTCTCACCGCACACATCGCACCACCTAGATTGCGCAACGTACATTGCGCCACATATATTGCACAGCCTAAGCTGCACCAAATCGACTGCGCAACCGAGATGCGCACCACATGGTACACACCATATATTGCATAACGCAAATGTGGCGCATCGAATGCACAGCGTCCATTGCACAACATATATTGCACGTAGTACGTTGCACCACGTTGATTGCATCCCGTCGATTGCACCACGCAGGTTGCTCATCACATCAATTGTACCACGTCGGTTGCACAACATGTTTGCACAATGCGGTTTTCACGTTAAATGTTGCGCAGCCTAAATGTCGCATCACGAATTGCAGCACACACACGTATGTATATCGACCACAATCGCCACATATGATGACCCACATGAACAGCATTACGTGTAGTTGCAGAAACAAGATGTTTAAAACTTGCGACGGACAATTTGTGCTTGTATATGTACAAACAAATTGTTGTGCTAACATACGATCGAGAAGAGAGACACAGAGAGAGGGAAAGAGAACGAGCGAGAAAGAGAGACCAAGAGCGGCAGAGAGAGGGACTGAATGCGAGAGAGAGAGAGAGAGAAACAAACTTACCCTGTGACGTACCCAACCCATTTGTACCAATGGAAACGAGGAGTTGGCCGAAAATTGCATGCACAAACAACTTGATGTGTAAGCTACTTGGGACACTCGCCTATGGCATGATGCGCAGGGGAACCATACAAGAACGAGGGGCGACAGCTACAGGCTCGAAGAGGACATGGGGAGTCGGGAACGCAGAGCAGGAGAAAAACGCGCGGGAAACCGAACCATCAGCACGGCAGCAGCAGAGGGAAGGTGATTGCAGGAGGAGAACAAAGACGAAAGCGGCGTCTAATTTGAATCTGCGGTGGGTACCCATTGTGCTGGGCCCCCCAGCAGGCCTCGAAAGTGGCGACAGCTTCACAGATCGCAGCTCCCCAGGGATGGCGAGGTCAAATTTGAATCGGCGGTGTGTACCCACTGTGCCGGGCCCCCCAGCAGGCCTCGAAAGTGGCGACAGTTTCACAGATCGCAGCCCCCCAGGGATGGCGAGGTCTAATTTGAATCCGCGTGGCGTCACTGTGCTGGGCCCCCCAGCAGGCCTCGAAAGTGGCGACAGTTTCACAGATCGCAGCCCCCCAGGGATGGCGAGGTCTAATTTGAATCCGCGCGTGTACCCACTGTGCTGGGCCCCCCAGCAGGCCTCGAAAGTGGCGACAGTTTCAGATCGCAGCCCCCCAGGATGGCGAGGTCTAATTTGAATCTGCCCCACCCAGTGTGCTGGGCCCTCAGCAGCCTCGAACGTGGCGACAGTTTCACAGATCGCAGCCCCCCAGGGATGGCGAGGTCTAATTTGAATTTGCGGTGGGTACCCACTGTGCTGGGCCCCCCAGCAGGCCTCGAAGTGGCGACAGTTTCACAGATCGCAGCCCCCCAGGGATGGCGAGGTCTAATTTGAATCTGCGGTGTGTACCCACTGTGCTGGGCCCCCCAGCAGGCCTCGAAAGTGGCGACAGTTTCACAGATCGCAGCCCCCCAGGAATGGCGAGGTCTAATTTGAATCCGGGTGTGTACCCACTGTGCTGGGCCCCCCAGCAGGCCTCGAAAGTGGCGACAGTTTCACAGATCGCAGCCCCCCAGGGATGGCGAGGTCTAATTTGAATCTGCGGTGGGTACCCACTGTGCTGGGCCCCCCAGCAGGCCTCGAAAGTGGCGACAGTTTCACAGATCGCAGCCCCCCAGGGATGGCGAGGTCTAATTTGAATCGGCGGTGTGTACCCACTGTGCTGGGCCCCCCAGCAGGCCTCGAAAGTGGCGACAGTTTCACAGATCGCAGCCCCCCAGGGATGGCGAGGTCAAAGGCAGGGGGGAAGAGAGGGACGGGAGGGGGCGGGAAGGAAGGAGACGCGCGAGCAGTGCTCTATTCAAAACGAGAACCCAACGCAGGAGTGTTGGGAAACAAAGAGAGGGAGAGAGCAAGAGAGAGAGAGAGGGAGAGCACATGCTATACATAATGTTGTCCGTGGCGGGGTGAAGATGAGGAGGAGGAGGAGGAGGAGGAGGAGGAGGAGGAGGAGGAGGAAGAGGAGGAGGAGGAGGAGGAGGAGGAGGAGGAGGAGGAGGAGGAGGAGGAGGAGGAGGAGGAGGAAGAGGAGGAGGAAGAAGAGGAGGAGGAGGAGGAGAGGAGCAGGCTCAGGAGGAGGAGGAGGAGAAGGAGAAAGACCGACTGGAGCAGTAGGAGGGAAAGGGAAATTACGATGAGAGTACGGGGAGGGGGTGGAAGAGAAAGTTAGACCATCGAGGAAGGGGGAAGAGGGAGACGGGGAGGGAGGAGGAGGAAGAGGAGGAGGAGGAGGAGAAGGAGGAGGAGGAGGAGCAGGGGTAGGAGGCGCATGGGGAACAGGAGCACGATGTGGTGTTGATGGGGGTCGGGATGGGGGATGGGGCTGAAGAGGTCAAATAAAGGCTTGAAGCAGGAACGTGACTATGAGGAGGGGGCGGAGGACGAGCGAAAGCCGCGCCGAAAGGACCCCGAAGGGGAGGAAGAGGAATACGAAGACCACGGAGAAGACGTGAGAAGGGAGGACGCTCAAGATGAGCTGCGCATCCTCCTGGGGACGCTGGCAGAAGAGAATGTGCCTGCTGCGGAGGACGTCGGCTCACTTGAAGAGGACCACTCCTACCTTGTTCCTCCTCGTCCTTCCCTTCTCGCCCCTCCTCCTCCTCCACCTCGTCCTCCTCCTCATTATCATGATCCACGTTCCTCCACCCTCTCCCCATTTCCCCTCCTACTTGCCCCCTCCCCCCTCACACTCTGCCTCTCTACTCTTCTTCCTCCTCGTTGCCCCCGCCCTCTGATCCTCCTCATCCTCCTCCTCCTCCCTCCTCCTCCATCCTGCCTTTGCCCCCTCCTCGGTCATACGTGTCCTCCTCCTGCACGGCCCTGTTTCTTTCTCCGGATGCTGTTCCCGCCCTCGGTGCAGGCTCTGTCTGGCCACGGGGAGGACCACTGTGTCGACTCGAGGGTTTGTCAGGCCGGGCGCCGGGCCCCGGCCCCCCGCCTCCACCCTAAGGGGTAACGTTCGGCGGGGGAAAGGCTCAGATGGGGGCGATGTTCGAGGTTTTCGACAGTTTTCGTCAGTTCTCCGCAGTTTTCCAGCCTTGGGGTGCTCTCCAGCAGCTCCGCCTCGCCGTGAGCGTTCCGGGGGGAACGGGGTCTTCCCGATGGGCCGCCGGAGAGCCGAGCTGTGGCCCGAAAACCCAAGAGCAACGCTAGAGGGGATTGGCTCGGGGGGGGGAGCGCGCGGACCTCCGATCGTCCACTCGTCGCCGACTGGGGCCTGATAGCCCATCCCGCCCAGGTCCGTGCGGATCTGCTATCGGAGGCCTGCCGCCCATCGAGCAGCGATGCGTCGTCGATGCCAGGTCGATGTTCCCCTCCCTGAGTTGCCCAACCCCTAGAATTTCCTTTCACGCCTCACGCTTCGCGCTGTGGGGCAAGCTCGCCGAGGCCGTCGAGCAGCTACTGCTGGCGGTGGGGAGGGCGAGCAGTGCCCTCCAGGCCGAGCAGGCCCTTCGCGCCCTGAGGGAGGGCGGGAGGCTGAACGGGCGGGCGCACGGTGGAGGCCAGGCAGGCCTCGCCCGGTGCAATCGTCCCGCGACTCGCCTAATAGAGGGGAAGAAGAGCAGGACCAGTGGAAACCGAAGGCGCATCGGCAATGTTGTTGTAATAAATCCTCCCTTCAAGTCCACTTCTCCGTAGGTTCCGACAACAGTTGTCATTGAGGGAGGTGCCCCAGTGGAGGACAACCGTCTGAGAATCCTCAACCGTGCCAACAGACAATTCTTTGGACTTCAGCGCCACGAGTCAGCTTGCATGGTGCGTACTGGGTATCTTAAACCGTGCCAGAGCACCAGTCCTGGGACTTAGCCACAGCGAATTCGCGTGACTGTTGCGTCCTGACGCTCCTGAGTCGTGCCAGAAAACCATGCTTGGGAGTTCAACCGTACAAATTCGTGAAACTGCTGCTACCTTTTAAGGCGAATGTGCGCGGCGCTAAAGCGAGAGCCACAGTTTGAGAAGGAACCGCTATTTGTCCTGTAAGCCTCTACAAACTTTTAAGGCACATGTGCGCGGCGCTAGAGCAAGAGCCACATTGTGGAAAAGACCCGCCCTCCATCCTTGTCGCAATTGCAAAATCTTCAAGCGAGAGTGTGCGTGGTCCCACGGCGAGAGCCACATGCTAAAAAGGACCCGCCCTCCAAGCTTCAAACTACTGCAAGCGGTGAAGGCGAATGTGCGCGGCGATCAAGCGGCATCCACAGTTTGAAACAGCCCGCCCTCTATCCTCACCATTGGTCAAGAGTTCTGAGACGAATGAGCGCGGCGCTAAGTCGAGAGCAACTTTTGAAAAGGACCCGCCCTCTGTCCTCGACACTGTTGCAAAGTTTTACGACGAATGTGCGCGGCGCTAAAGCAAGATACACACTTTGAAAACGAACCGCCCTTAATCCGTGAAGGTGTTGCAAGTTTCAAGGTGCAGGTTAGAAATCGTAAGGAAGTCTACGGCGAAACGCCCAATTCGCCCTACCGGCATGTCTGGGGGTGCGACAGGGAGGGGTTATTCTTTAATCGTTTCGTTCATTCCGACGGCCCGTATTGTGCCATCGCTGGTTGCTGCCAGCGCGTTCGTGGCCCATGCGGCGCTGCTTGGCGATGGTATTTGTTTTGGAGGCGTGGCGACAGCAGGCATGGACGCGAAGAGTTGCTTTGAAGCTTGTCGTGGAAGTTCTGGCCTCTTCTGCTCACCGACATGGCCAGGTTGTGGATCAGAGTTCTCAGGGATGCTTCTTGGGGTCTCTTCGGAGCGCCCTCAGGGGCTTCTGGAGGGCAGTTCTGGGGACTCTTGCGAGCGTTTGGGCCGTCTTGGAGCCCTCTTGGGCCATCTTGGGGCCCTCTTGGAGCCCTCTTGGGCCATCTTGGGGCGATCTTGGGGGCGTCTTGGGTCCTCTTGGAGCGTTGGGAAGGCAGCTTGGGTCCGTCCTGGGGCCATCTTGAGCCGTTTGAAAGGCCTCTTGGGCCGTCTTGGGGCCCTTTTGGGTCCTCTTGGGGCCCTCTTGGAGGCCTCTTTGGCCATGTGTGTGTGTGTGATCTTGGGGGCTTCTTGGGCCGTCTTGGAGCGTCGAGAAGCCGAAAAGGTAGGAGCGCCACACACGCCGGTCGTTGAAAGTAGGTATTTCTGGACTCCCAGATCCCAATCTACTTCAAGCGCCTTCCTAGTTCAATAATCGATCTTCGGTTGCTGTGTTTTGTTTTCCTCGGGGAGGGCAAGGACCCAATCTACTTGACCTGCCTTTCTTCTTCATCTTGTTACCTATTTCTTCCGACCGACGTGAAATCGTTTTATAGATATATACATATAAACAAGTAGCGAAGGGCACACAATATGTTTTGCTTCCTGGGGCCATTTGGAGACGCCTCTTGGAGGCTTCCTTTGGAATCTTGGAAGCGTCTACGGCCGTCTGGAAACCATCTTGGGTGTATCGGAGCGATCGGTCGACGACTCGGAGCCCTGTTGGACCATCTTGGGGGCGTCTTCAGGCCATCTTGGAGCGCTCAGGGAGGCTGAAAGGCCGCACACGGGAGGAAAACCATCTCTGACCCGAGTGTCCCGGGAGTCTCGAGGGGTATTGTTCGTCCGGGGACCCCCAGGGGCCGCCCCGCGCGCGCGCGAACTAGAAATATACTGTCTACCAGTGACCGGAGATCTTAGCACGCCTCTAGCCCCTTGGGCCAGCGAGTTTATCAAGAGAAAGGGATGGGGGACGCGACGCTCTCATGATTCCGCCGAAGGCCAAGACTGACGAGAGAGCCACGATACAAATGGAAAACGCGGCATCCGTAAGCCGCCCGGGGTGCCTCCGCTTTGGGAGCGTCCCGCTCGCGGGCGGGTTTTGGCTTTCAGGGAGAGGAGGAAAGGAGAAGGATGAGGAGCAGGAGGAAGATGAGGAGAAGGAGGAGCAGGGCAGGAGGAAGGAGGAGGGAGGAGGGAGGGGAGAGGAGGAGGAGGAGGAGGAGGAGGAGGAGGAGGAGGAGGTGGAGGAGGTGGAGGAGGACGAGGAGGAGGACGAGGAAGCGGAGGGGGGAGGATGGAGGGGGGAGGGGGCGGCAGCCTCCGTCGTCTCCTTCGAGTTGTCGTTCCCCTCACTTCTCTGCCGTCTCCAGGTCCACTTGCCCAAGAGGTGCTGCTCTCCTCCCTCCGCATGCGCGGGGCGCCTGCTGTCCGCTCGTCAAAAAGATGCTCTCCTCCCTCGACCTCAGCGGAGGCCGATGGCAGGGACTGCCGTTGGTCCCGCCGATGGCAGGGGCTGCCGTTGGCCCCGGCTGTCACCAGCAGAGCCGCCGTCAGATCGCAGATCGTAGGGGTCAGCCTCGGCCCCCATTCTCCCCAAGGCCGGGATTCTTATCCCATGTGGGAGTCCATCGGGCGGACGGCAACGAGGGGATCGTCGAGGACTGCAGGAGAGTGGCCCTAAAGGGGCCTGCAACGGCTCCTGGACTGCCAACGCGGACACGCGAAAGTGCAGAAAAAAGGTGCACGCTTCGCCCCCCCCCGCTAACGAGCACCCGACAGGACCTGGGGGAGGCATCAGAGGCATAGCGCGGCGCTCGCCCGCAGGAGGCTGGGCCTTGGGCCCCTTGGCCGAGGCTGCTACGCCCCGCCCACCTCGCGCAGGCCGTGCGCGGGCTCCGCGGCGTCGCGCGCTCCGCGGGCGAAGGAGGAGGAGGAGGAGGAGGAGGAGGAGGAGGAGGGCAAGCCGCCCCTCACTGCCTCCCCCTCCCAAGGTGCAGCTTCATGGTCAGCTGTTCATCTGTCGTTCCGCCCTCCGTCGTTCCTGCGTCTCTCTCTCTCTCTCTCTGTTCACTTCCTGCTTTTCCTGGTCCTGGCACCAGCGCCGCTGGGTGGGAGGGGCTCCGAGGGCTTCGACCGTTCGTGGTGTCACAGTCCGCAGCTTCGAGCTTCGAGGAGGAGGAAGGCATGGGAGAGTGGATCTCGGGCCTCATGGCATCCGTAACTCGCCTCCCCGCATCCTGTGGGAGACCGCTTCCCGAAGAGGCAGGACACTGACAAGCGCCGGCCTCGGGCTCCGAATCCCAGCGGGGCATGTTCCTGCGGAAAGGGCGGGTGGGGAGGGGCTGCCGGCGGCATCCCAGCAGAGGAAGACGGAGGTCCAGGTCTTTGGGTCCCCTTTCTTTCCGAAGACGAAAGGCAGCGCATACGTAAACTTTCAGAGCTCCGCGCGCTTCGCGCGCCAGGGAGGGGGTGCCCAGCGTCGATCCTAAAAATCCGTGCGGAACTCCAGAGCTTCTTTGATCTTTGCCGCCGCTGAGGCGCCCGAATGGCGCCAGGCAGGCCATGCCACCATTTGAGTTCGGCAACGGGGCGCCTGACCTACTCGGCCGCCTCTTCGGCCGATCGGTTCGGACGGCTTTTTCTCTTGCTGCCTGGCGTTAGAGTTCCGTCCCGACGGCTCGCTGATCTCGTGGTGCCTCTTTCTCCTCCTCCTCCTTCCTCTTCCTTCCTTCTCATTCCCATATTCGCCTCGTCGTCCTCGTCCTCGTCCTCCTCCTCCTCCTCCTCGTCCTCCTCCTCCTTTATCTCTCCCTACATTGACCCATCCTTGTTCTCAGTTCCACGTGCTCCTCCTCTCCTTTCTTCTCGTCTCCGCCCCCCTAACAGGATGAGGGCCATCAAGAGTCCCACAGCGAGGCAGAGAAGCACTCGGATGCGGATGAGGATACGGGCGTGGTCGAGACAGCGGACACCATGGACCGAGCGCTCGAGTTCTCGTGTTCCGCTCCCTCCGTATTCGGCTGTTCGTGTTGCTCGCGTGTCTTTTCATTCATAAGTAGTGCATATCGTTGTCCAGGTTATTTGTTTTTGAGAATCGTATAGTTTCCCTCTCGTTCTCTCTCTCTCTCTCTATATATATATATTTATCGCATTATTTACACCTGTATGCACTTCAGTACACGGGTATATGCCGTAGTCCCCCGCAGTTGCGGATAAGAGTGATGGGGGCGAGGGGTCGTCGGCAGACCGTTCGGCCTCCTCACACTGATACAACCAGCCTGCCGCAGGCGCCGATTTATTCGTCAAGGCAGTCAAGGCAATGTCAGTGGGTCGAGGGTGGGTGGCGGGTGGGTCGTGGGGTGGGCCGCGGTGTGGGTCGTGGGCGAAGACGACGACGACATCGCAACACTAACGCAACAGCAATGCAACAGCGCAACAACAACGGTCTCCATCGCGTAACTACACTTCAGTCACGCGCCCACGGACAATGAATGACCGTTCGTCCCCTCAATATGATACGTTGTGTTATATACATGTGTATATATATCATACACATGTATGTAGGCGCATCAGAGTGAGATGGCGGAACGGTCGGACATCATCCCTACGAGGTTTCGTCCACAGCACTCTATGTTTCAGCAACGTGGACGCTCACATAACCTCAACGACGGCAGCTGCACACCACCCAGATGCGTATGATCCGCATGATCATGAGCACACCAAGACGCCGACAGCCACGACCATCATCCCACCTCATCGCCCAATGCACCTCGACAGCTCCTACACCGCATCCGACACCCAACTCCGACGCCACATGGACCCAAGACGGGCCAAGACGGCCCCAAGACTGCCGAAGAGGCGCCCAGGACAGCTCCAGACCACCCCAGAACAGGCCCAAGGTGAGCCCTAGAGAGGGAGCAGGAGGCCGCCAGAGGGACTCCGGGACCCCCCAGAGGCCTCCAACACACCCCAGACCCCTTGAGAGACCCCCAAAAATTCGCCGACGAGGCCCCCACAACAGCCCAAGAGAGCTTCGAGAGCCGTCCCGAGAGAGCCCGGAGAGGGCAAAAACGTTGATTTCCATTGGTTTTTGATGATTTGTTCCGCCTTCTCACGGTTTTGCGGCTTCCAACGCTCCAAGACCTAGGAATTCGAAAAAAAGGCAATTCCAGAGATTCCGTTTTTGTTCAAATTGGGATTCCTACTCCTTATCCTCCTCCCCGAGCCCCATCAAGACTTCGGGGTCACATGCAAAAAAGTTTCGGGAATGCTGCTGAACTCTCTGACGCTGGCTTGGCAATCTCTTGGATCGTCTTCGTGTCCTCTTGGCTGCCCCTGAAACCATGATAGAAATCGAGATCCCATGATCCTATGAGTTGAAGCAGTGGAATTTTAGAATCCTTTTGTTCAAAATCACCCTGGATTCTTTTTGCCCGAAGACCCCGAGAGGCATCCCAACAGACCGTGGCCTGCATGCAGAAAACGTCTAACCCTCAGCCCAGGCACTACAACTTGAACAACAGGGAAATCCCACCATTCCGTTGTTTTTCAAGTTCGCCCCCTGTCTACTCTTGCACACCAAACCATAATTAAGGCCCAGAAAAGAACCCAGTAAGCCTTCGAGGGCCCAAAATCGTTGAATACCTAACGGCAAGTAATGATTGGTGCGTTTCCGCAGTTCCCCTTCTATACGATTCCGGGGCTTACGCAGGGCCTCCAAGAGAGTCCCTGGATGCAAGAAACGACAAGGATGATATTCCATGTGTTCGCCCATCACGCCTAGCTAGAACTTGAGCGCGCGCGAAGCGCGCGATGGTTCTAGTATATATATATATATACACATCGATATATGTGTAGGTACTCACACTATTCGGTCAGCTCATATCCAAGAGGGCCGACAGAAGATTTCGGAAAAGCGGAAAGGCCGGCTCAGTACCGTACGTTTTCATCAAGGAGCGACCAGGGATGCGTGCTTAAGCGTCGCCTGCGCACACTCAGCTCCCGAGGGGGCGTTTCCCCCCTTCTTGAGAGATGCAGCTGCGACACAATAGGCACGTGTGCAAGTGAAGAGGAGAGCGAGGCGGGCGAGCGATCGGGGCTGGTGATGGCGTCGGTGCGGGCGTTGTTGGTGGCGTGAGCGATGGTGTTAGCCTGTGGCCGCACAGGCGACATTGTAAAGGATAGTGAATAGACATCAAAGCTCCAAGATGGAGCACAAACACAAACACTTACACACACTCACGCACGAAGTCCAAGAGGGCGCACATGTCGATATCATACTGGACACACGAGTTCTGCAAACATCACTGGCAAGCCCCTGGGCTTGCTCATAACAAGTCTGACAGATTTTCTACCCGCGCGCATTTGCTTAATTCATGGGAAGACCATGTGGCTCTAGCAGTCTCGTCTAGAAACCGCATTCTCATCGCACCACGCGGTGCATCCGCGTTGATCTAGCATGCGCCTTGTGCACGATTCCGTTTCAAATATTCCCCGAACCACCAGTTCCCGAAGCATTTCAAGATCGAATTCTTCAACAATATAGAAAACACATTGTAAGTTTTCTTTGACAGTCCGCTATGTGTCCTGCATCTCCGCACGCGCGCGCACTTTCTCATCACGACCCTCATTAGCGCCACCGCATCACCGCCGATTTTGTCATCGTCAAGCGCCGCTATTGCCGCCATCATCTGCCAATCACCTTCATCACCCCACATTGGCATCATCGTCGTCGTCGCCAACATCGGCGCCGTCATTAGTTTCGCCGTCGTCATCGTCATCATCGCCACCACCCGTGTTACTATAATCATCGTTGCCGCCGCCGTTGGCGACGTTATCACGATGCCGCGCGCGCTCGGGTCACCGACTCGCAGTAAAGTCCCCGCGCGCCAGCGCAGCGCGCTGGGAAGTAGTGATCGGCAAGCGCCAACGCAGCCGCGTCGGCTGTGCTAAGCCAGCTGGCCGCTCTGCACGCGAGCTTGCGCGCGCCAGCGCAGCGTCCAAGATGCGCCGGCCAGTGCCAAGTAATCCCTGCAATCGCGGCTGCATGGATTGTGTAAACGAAGTTGCCTGTGGGAGGGTGGGATCATTACGCAAGCAGTCGAGTTGACGACTTCAAGCTCTGCAGCGTGAGTGTCACAACGTAGTTTAGACCATGAGGCTTGCACCACGCAGCTAGCACCACATAGATTGCAATATTGCATCGCGAGCTTGTACCACATACCTTGCACCACACAGCTTATATCACTTAGCTCAGACCACATAGCTCGCATTCAATAGAATGCACCAGGTAAAATGAACCACAGCTTGTGCCACATATCCTGCACCACAAAGCTTACTCCACATAGCTTGCATTACGTGGTTGCGCCACGTAGCTCACACATGCACAGTGCAATGACATCCAAATTGTGGCAAACGCTGACCAACATGTCGTGTCCTGCGTGTGAACTCATAGGGGAGGACCCGACACATTCCTACAAGATTGTGTTGGATTCCGCTTGGCGTTCTTCTGGGCCCCCGAGCCCCCGATTCCGAACACACCTTACGTGCGCTCGGTCATCCCTCGCGGCCACATGACTTGGTTGGTGTGCCCAGGCCCTTCTCGCCTAACTGTCTTGGGCTGCCAGCCCAGGCTCTCCCCGTGGCCAGGGGTGGCAGGAGGGTCCCGCAGTGGAGGAATCCCGCCCGTCCCCCCTCCACCTCCTTCTACAATTACGCAATATGAATACTACTCTCCTCCTTCCCCTGATGACGGGTTGGGAGTGTTCGCCCCCCCCCCGCGTAATGTTTTTTCACACAGGATTCCCCGGAGTTGGGTTTTCGCCTGCACTTTTTTAAAAATGCTGCTCTCGCTGAGGCGCCGGCCTCATTTTCGGGCCCCGCTTGTTCCGAATCGTGCTCCCGCTGCAGCGCTGGCCTCATTTCCGTGCTTCCGCTCGTTCCGAATCGTGCTCCCGTTGCAGCGCTGGCCTCATTTCCGCGCTTCCGCTCGTTCCGAATCGTGCTCCCGCTGCAGCGCTGGCGTCATTTCCCGTGCCATGCCACGGCATGCACTGCAATGCTAGGTTGCGTTCCGCTGCGCGATGCCATGCCTTCAGCTGAAGCTGTGATATGCAGTGCTTAAGTGCCACGTCGTGCTATGCCATGCTACGCTTTGATCTTCAACGCCATGCTATGCAATGTTATGTTCGGGGCCGCTGTGCGATGCCATGCTTTGCGTTGCAAAGCTTTGTGATGCAATTCTTCACTACGCCACGCCACGCCATGCTGTGACATACTACGCTTTGCGGTACTCTTCTACGCCATGCCATGCCGTGCTCTACAAAGCAACGCGTACCCTTTCGAGATCATTGCCCTGCTCGACATCCGACTGTGCGAGTAGAGCGGGGATCTACGCCATGGTAAGGGATGGGAGGGAGGGGTAGGATGTCAGATATGACGCGAGCGCACCTAGCTTGTCCCTCCCCCTCCCCCCGATCTCGGCCGCTGGCCGTGCTGCTTGTTTTTCCCAATATCCTAAGATGGGGTTCTTGCTATTGCTCTGACGCCGCCTACTCCTCCTCCTCCTTCTCCTCCCCTCTCCTCCTCATACCCAGACTTACTCATGCACAGACTGACTCACACTCAGACTTACTCATACCCAGACTTACTCACACACAATAGTATTCATACTCAGACCTACTCATACTCAGATTTACTCATGCTGAGACTCACTCATACCCAGACTTACTCATACTCAGGCCTTCTCGTTGTCTGACTTACTCGACACACAGCAGATTGTGATGATGTCTCAGGCTAGGCGCTGGCTTCAGCACCCCTAAGGGGAGCCGCCGAGGGGTATGACACGGTCCCGTTCGCGGCCGTTTTGTGGGGACGTCTCAAGCGGTTTGCCTGGTTTCTGGCCCAACATCCTTCGTGCTCGGAGCAGATTTGGATGATTTCTCGAGCGAGGCGCTCATTTTCGCCCCCCAGGTGGGCCAGATGTTGAGGATGTCTTGTTCGGTTTGCCTGTTTTGGTGACCCGACTCGTGGGCACAGATTCTTCTCAGGGTGCCACAGGATGCTCCAACAGGCTCCAGGAGGCCACTGGGGACCACATGAGGTCCCAGGAGGCATCAGGGGGCCACAGAAAGACTCAAGAGGCCACAAGATGCCCCAAGATGTTCCAGGAGGCCCCAGGAAGCTCCAGGAGGCCTCAGGAAGCCACAGGAGGCCCCAGGAGGCCACAGGAAGCGCCAGGAGACTTCGGAAGGCAACAGGAGGCCCCGAGAGGCCCCAGGAGCAGGAGGCATCAGAAGGCAACAGGAGTGGCTCCAATCCCATGTGTTTTTGCATCTGCTCCGATAGATTGGGCCTCACCTGGAGCACGAATCCTTGACGTTATACGTATGTTTCTATAGATTGTCCTTCTCCTGTGAACACAATCCTAAATGTTTTATTTATGTTTCTATATGTTGGGCCTCTCCTGGGGCACGAGTCCTTGGTGCTTTACGTGTGTTCCTATCAGTTGCCCTTCTCCTGCGGCTCCAATCCGCAATGTTTTATGTACGTCGGTTGCTATCGATTGGGCCTCTCCTGGGGCACGAAGCCTCCCTGGGAGGTCCCAGGAGGCCCCAGGAGGCCCCAAGAGGCTCCTGGAGGCCCCAGGAAGCCCCAGTAGGTTTCAGGAGGCCCCAGGAGGCCCGAGGCTCATGCGCAGAGACGCGCTCGTTCTACTGAGGCTCATGTACACTCCAATTCATTCGCAGTTAGATTCATGACCAGACCGTCACAACTGAAGGCCGTTTATAGTCGAAAGTTCTTGCGCCTAGACATTCACGGCGGACAGGTCCATGCGAATAGATGCACATATGGGGAGCTCCACGCAGTGAAACATTTCGCTGGGCGCTGGAAGCTGTTCGGAGAGGCAGGCGCTCTCATTTCTGGTGGTCGGGATGGTGAGTGGCAGTGTGGAGGTGGTGCGGGCTTGGTGGTGCTGGTCGGTGCGTGGGCGAGTTGGGGGGTGCTGTCCCAGGGTCTGGGTTCGGCCGGGCGGTCTGGGCTCGGGCTGGGTCCCGCCTACTGCATCTTCGGAGGCCCGTCCAACCGTAGTGCGTCCGACGCCGCCCCTGGCTCGCGGAGCGCATCCGGCTAGCAGGGGGGGTTCTCTGGGAGTCACGGGGGGTGGGGGGGCTGTCAGGCTTCAGCGATTCCCTCGCTCCCTGGCTCGATCTGGCCTGCCGCATGGCGGAAGAGCAGGGGCAGGGGGGTGAGCGGAAGGAAGTCCCTGGAGTCTTTTTCATTGAGGCCTTATTTCCGCCGTCTCCGACCTCTAGGGTCTTGGGAGACTGGGGTCGTTGCGGCTGAAACCGAATTCGGGTTAGGAGCAGATCCGGCTGGTCGCCGCCTACCACGCGCACAGACTGCAGTATGCCTTGCACAGACTGGCTTGGTGACCCCGGGGCGGATCCATTTAGAGCTCATTCCTTGCATCCGTGCACGGCCCGCTTGAGACCTCTCTGGTGTTTGGACGGCCCCCGCCCTCACCACCTGTTTGAGCTGGCCGCAGCAGGCAGCTGGAGAAGTCGATGTCCTCCCTTTCGCGTGGGCTGCTTCCCCGTTCACCGCCCGCCCTGGCCGCCATCCATCCATCCATCCGCCTCGCGCCCCGCCTAACAATTGCTCGTAGCAGCAGTGCTGCCCGTGCGTTGAGGCGGGGGCTGCCGGTGAGACGTCTCGAGATGTTTCCCTTCCTCCTTCTCCTCCTCCTCCTCCTTCTCCCCCTCTCCCCCTCCCACCTCGCGCGCGCGCCTCCCCTCCTCCTCCCCCTCCCCGCGAGGAGGACAGAAGGGAAGAAGACGAGGACGATGACGACGACGACTGGCTCGAAGGAGGCGGAGAAGAAGACGAAGGAGCCCCCTCCTTCAACCCAGACCCACGAAGACTGGAGAATGGATTACATCATTTCCAGCTCATGCTCGAGGGATATCTCCCTTGTGCAATATCCACGTGCAATGGTCATTGAATGCGCTGTGGCGGCGGCAATGGCCACTACAGTTACAAGGAAGCGTCTCTGCCTATGGTGAATTTCTGCTTCACGCCATCCTCCTGCCGCTTCCCTCATCGTCCTCGTCCTTTTGTCGCTGCAGTTGCCCCCACCCGTTCTCTTCTTATCACACCCCTGCCATCCAAATCATGCCGCCCCCTGCCCATCTGGCCTTCGTTTTTTTATGCTATCCCTCTGTTCTCCTCCTCATCATCCATACGTCGCTCTGCTCTTTCTCTGGCTCCGACTCCTCCTCTCCCTCCTGCCCTCTGTTTCGGGAGCCCCCGAGCGATGTGGTGACCACACCGCGTGGTGAGTCCGTGGGGATCCGGGGCCACCGCAAGGTTTTGGGACTGGGGTTGTCTCCGAGAATATCTCGGGCAATTGGGGCCTGCAGGGTCTCAAAACCGTGCGGTGACGGAACGCGCGGTGAGGTCTCTGGGGATTTCGAGGTCACCGCGTGGTCTGTCACCATGCGGATTTGGGGCCTGGACGTGTTTCCCCTTAGCTTGCCGTCTTCATGCCACCGTCTGCTACTATCCCCATCTGTTTCTCCCTCCTGCTATCCTGCTGCTGCTCCATCCACTTTCTCCTCGGGTCGAGCTCATCCGGTTCCCGCGGGCTTGAAGGAGGCGGAGAAGAAGAGGAGGATGAGGTGCAAGACCACTTAGACGAAGCGGAAGAGCACGCCGCGAGCGAAGCTGCCGAGAAATTACACGTGGGCGCCGAGTCAGGTCTACATGGGGGAGAGGACGATGAGAGGAGAGGCACGTGAGGAGAGGGTGAGGGGGAAAACGAGGGCTGACAGGAAGAGGAACATGAGGACGATGAGGGGTTATTGTAGAGGGTGAGGCGGAGGGACTGACGAGGAGGGCGATGTAATTATATAAGGGCGTGGGCTAGAGCCAAGCGCTAGCTCCGCGAATTAGGGGGACGAGGACGAACAGGAGAAGGAGGAGGAGGAGGAGGAAATCGAGGAGGAGGAGGAGGAGCAGGAGGAGAGCTGGAACTGGAACTGGTTAAAACGCGAAGCGATATAAGTGAATTAAACAGGATCGCGGTCCCTGGCTTCTCGCTCTCTCCGAATGAGAACCTTTGACCACAGGCCAGAGCCGATCCTGGACAGATGTATTCGGGTGGTGACCGTGAGGTGCCCACCACAAGTCCCCTTCAAGGTCCGAAGCTGGGCACCGGCGAAATACCCACACACACACACCACAATACCACAGGTGAAGATCCGTGTGGTAAAACAGCGTGTGAGAGCCATGGATCCGAGGAGGAGGAGGAGGAGGAGGACGGCAACAGCCACAGCTACCAGGGGGCGATCAGCGACCTGCGCACCAACGCACCATCACAGGTCAAGCGCCCCTGGCCTGCGGCGTTGGCTGTGGAGAGTAAGCCGCCCGTCCTCCACGACGAGGCCAGCGGCATTCTGCTCCTCACCATCTGCTGCAACTCGCGACTGGGCCGCACGGCCGGCAGCAGCGGCCGCACGTCTCCCGCGATGCTTTCCAGCACGGGTGCGGTCTCGTGCACGCACGTCGGGTCGCACGCAACGCGGTGCAGAGGTGCCCCTGGGGGGCCCTCTCCGGAGCTGCGGGCGGCCGCGGCAGGCTCCTGTCCCCGACCGCGCGCTGCCAGCCCCGCCAGGCGCTATCCACCTCGAGACCCGGGGGGGGGGGGTACGATGCGCCGAGTGCGGCCACAGTGGCCACGGAGGAAGAGGAAGAAGGGGAGGGGGGGGGACGAGGAAGGGAGAGGGCGGGAGGGAGCAGGACGAAGGGGGGGGGCAGAATGGAGGCAGCCCGCTCTCGCTCGAGAGAAGATACGGATGAGGACGTCTTCGATTACGAAGAGGAGGCGGAGGAGGAGGAGGAGGCCCACGTTCTCGGAGGAGAGGAGAGGAGAGGAGCGGGACGACGACGCCGACGACGACGACGACGACGACGACGACGACGTCGTGAAGATGAGGACCACGAGGATAAGGACGCGCAGGTGTAGGCGGAAAAGCTTGAGGAGGACCATATCCTCCTCTTCCTCCTTCCCCATCCTCCCTCCTCGTAGCTGCTCGTGGAACCCCACCCACACCACGCAGCATCCATGTACTGTACCGCACTCTTTTCCCTAATCCATTGCTTGTGGCCTTCCCACACACCTCTCAGGGCAGGAACGTCTCGGGCCGCATGCGCCCTTGTGGGCCCATGACTTCTTTCTTGCGCATGGCGCTATACAATCCATTGTCAGTACTGGAAGTAGATCGACCATCTAACATCTGGACAGAGATACGCGCAGACATCATCGGCCTTGCAGGGACACGTATCCGAGCACCACCTGGTATGCCTGTACAAGAATGGCAGCTCGAACGAGGCGGCTACGGACTCTCTGCTGGCTGGACGGCAGCCCCCTTCTCGAACAGATCGGCAGGATGTATGCTGATGATGACACAACGGCTCACAAAAGGGATTCGCAGTATTGCTTCGCCACCACCAGCGGCCCAAGGGCGAGGACTGGCAGTACGTATCGTGCACGGCTTCTTGGACCTAACCATCGTGCTGCTGTACCTCCCGCCGCTGAAAGATGATTGCGCTCGCAAACGACGGGCTCTTGAAAAAGGATCTAGAGAACTAGTGAACTGGGCAATCCAACAAGTGAAGGCAGCTCCAGCACGATCTACGCCGATAGTCATGGGCGACCTGAACACAGGCCTGGGCTTGCGCAGCGGTGCGCTGCTTTCCCCACCTTCCTTTAACGCGGAGGACACCGACGGCCTCGACAACATTGGCGGCTACAACTTGGGGGACCAGACGGTGATCGGGGACCAGATCTGGGAGGAACTCATCCAACCGTGCGACCTGATGAACGCTGGCAGTTTCTTCAGGCAGGCGGGCCCCACGTACTACCACTACGACGGCGCGACCAGTACGGTCGACCATATATTGATGCCGCTATCCTTGCACGACCAGGTTCGCCGATGTTTTATTCCATGGACGTCCGCTCGGCGACTACAACTCATTCCAGGAGGGCAACCGAGGGACCACGGGCCCATCCTGATCGAATTCTCGGCTTATCAACACCGTTGCACACAGCATCAGGCCACGCGATGGGATAGAGATAAGCTGGCGGCCGCGCTACAGGAGGGCACCGACAGATTACAATTTCAGAATGCATTGGAGACGGCCTTCACGGAAGGTACGGAGCTGGCCCAGTATGGGGTCTCGGGCGACATCGACGGCTATTGGAGCAAGTGGATCGACATCGCACGTAGCTGCGCCCAGAATTTCTTCGCCCAGGCCCCGAAGACTGCGGACCCAACGACAGTACAACTCAGAGAGCGACGACGTGAACTGGTACGCCTTCGAGCCGCAGCCCGAGAACGCCTGGGTGAGCAAGGCCAGGAATGCGCACACGTCCTTCGCCATCAACCCATTCTCTTCCCCGAGTACCAGGAGCTGCAGGAGATACGCACCACCCTTCGACAACTCGTACGACGGGAACGGGCAGTTCGACGTCGTCGAATCGAACAAGAAGTACAGGAGGCACGCCGCGAACGTCGATTCGCTGAGATGCATCGCCTTTTCTTGCTTCTGGCGGCTCGCTGTTGGGGCCCACGAAAACGACGATACCGAGTCCCCACCCCACTGTCGTCACGAGAGGAGTGGAGGAGTTTTCTGGCTGGCTCGCCCTACGACGGAGGTATGAATGCCCAGGAGATAAACTATTCGACCGAACTCGAGCAGCACCCCGATGTCGTCGACACGTCCACGATGTCCTCCGATACCTACGAGGAAAACGGTTTTTGGGCCGACCGTGACCTCAGCAGCACCCTGAAGTTCTTAAAAAAGCGCCCCAAACGACGAGCCGCCCCAGCCTGGAGTCTACCCACGGAGGTGTTTTTGATGGCCGCCGAATCTAGCTATCTATCTCGAGCCGAAGAGCCTCGCCTTGGACTGGGCGCCGAACGAGTAGGTGAGCTTCCTAGGTCCCAGGCGTACGAGCACTTGGAAACCATTCACTGGTGGGTCCGAGTTCTGAAGCGGGTCCCGAAGTTGGCCCACCTTTCTTGGGGATGCCCGATCCTGAAAGCCAACGGCAAACACGGCCCTGGAGGTAAACGCTTGATCCACGTCTTCTGCCCGCATTGGAAAGGCTTCTATGGGGCCGCGATTCAACGAGGACTCCACAGCCTACCACAGGATTGGCCTGCAGGGTTTCACGGCTTTCGTCCACGCCGGCGTCGCGAAGACGCTCTCGCTGTACAGATGCGTGTAGGATGCCGACTTCGGAAGCGAAAGCAGGCACGCCTTAACAATCTTCACGACATGTCGAATGCTTTCGCCTCCACCACACCCGAAGCTCGACAGCGCGCTATCCGAGATCTCGTCCTCCCTCGAGATCAAGCACTGTTTGAACACCGTGCGGAGCACGCTGCTACTTATCTGGGGTTTGCTGGCGGGGGAGACGAACCATGGAGGGATGCGCGTAATTTGCTGGTGAGACACGGATGTGGAGGATTGATGGGATCGAGCGAGGAACCGGGTATTTTCGCTAAGATTATGCAGCGACCCTTCTATGCGTGGCGATCGACACGGCCTGCTGCTCTCGCTATCGATCTGAAGTGCGGCATCTCCCCTCGCACGATCGACGGGGGAACGAGCGTTTTTACCGACGACATTTTTGATAAGATTCTGGTTCGCAGTGGCGAGGCCGGCGAGGCCCACCTGATGACCCAGCAGAGCGACGCGACCATGGACGCTGAGCTGACCCAGGTAGGCCTTCTCCAGAGTAAAAAGCAGGAGAAAGAGAGAGAGAGAGAGAGAGAGAGAGAGAGAGAGAGAGAGAGAGAGAGAGAGAGAGATTGTTCCGAGTTTTCATCGTTCGAAGGAGACGAAGAGGTTCAAGGAGCTCACCGCGGAGGGGAAGGTTCTACCACGGGCCCGCTATCTTGGAGGTAGGTATGCTTGGAACTTAGCGACGATGGAAGAACTTCAATATCGATGCTCTGCTATGCATGCTGGTTGGGCCAAAATGGGGAGCTTATGGGGTAGTCGGATCTCTAGCAAGTTGAAAATATTGGCCTTCCATGGGGCACGTTATCGAAGCTGGTTTATCGGCGAATGAGGCCTACGTCTTCTCAGAAAAAATGACTAACCAAATCTGCGCCGTCGTTGCTAAGTATCTGCGAACGCTTGAGAGAGGCGAGGCGACCGACTGGATTGGTAGTCATCCTCACAGCCTCCCCCACGCTGTGCTACGTAGAAGGTGGAAGGCTCCTCCTACTAGGTGCGCACAGGCTCCCAGAAGGTTCGCTTGGATCCAGAAGATGGCCAGAGACACCAAGTCCCACGCCCAGGCTATTGCGGCCCTCTGGGGAACCCTGAATGATGGACAACCTGCCCTGGGCCCTCATGGACTCCTCACGAAGGATGCCCCACCACTTGCGCACCAAGTAGAAACATAGTTGTGGCTTTGCGCTGGCATTAGTGGCAGTGAGGATTTTTTCGAGCGGTGGCGGGAGCACGGCTACTCGTACATTGCTCTGCTTCATGACGACGAAGTCAGAGAAGCGTGGCTTCGACTTGACCCGTCGATTCTCCAGGCCTCCATACCGACGGAGGGCAAGACTGCCTTTTTTCCAGAAGCTGCGTGGACCTGCTCGGCATGTGGCGCCTCCGACGGAAGAAGAACTCACGGCCTTTGTTTGTGCCCTCAGAGACGAGAGCGGGGCCCTCTGCAGTCAAACCTTTTCCTCCCATGGGGCCCTGACCTCCCGCGCGTTTCAGTCTCGTGGAGGTGAACGTAGAAAACGAAATCCCTTATACTTGTGTTATTTGCAAACAATGTCCTTGGTGCCGTTCGACTTTCGCGACGAAGGACAGTGCTCGGCAACGCGTTCGATCTTCCTGGGGTAGCCTGAAATGCCGCATCGGTCGATCCAGGTTTCCGTGGCCCCTGAACGCCCCGAATACGATCAAGCGCACCTATTGCGACGAAACTTTCGAAACTGCCGAATATAACGACCACGTCGTTCAACAACGCCTTCCTCGCCCTCCGCCTGTCGCTGTTTATCCTCAGTTTTCTGCTGGCGAGCGGGCCCCCGACGCACCCGGCCGAGTTCGACGCCCGAACCTCCCTGGCCATGTTCCCGCCGGCGGGCGCCGCAGCCGCGGCAGCGCCGCAGCGCCCGCAGGAGCGGCGCATGAAGGCGCGCGCAGACGGCGACAAGAATACCGACCTCGGCATGAACGGAGCGGCGAAGCAGCTGCACGTATTGATCCTCAAGTTCCTGTTGCAGCTGGGCCAGTCGAAAAGGAACGTAGAGGGAGTGGTGTTCGACTGCATCTTGTTGGACACGAGCGGCCACGAGGCGACCAAGATGAGCGAGATGGGCAACCGCTACTCCGAGAGCGTGGCCGAAGCGAGCCGCGGACACAACTTAGGCCCCCCGCACCTCTGGGTCTTCGGCGGCCTCCTGATGGGCCTGATGGAGCGCAAGGAGGCGGTGGGAGCGGCCAACGCGAAGAAACTAATGGAGCTGCGCACGCATATCGAGAATATCGACATCGCAGCGAAATGCGAGCTGATCACATTCTGCAAAATGGACAGGTGCTACGACCAGAACAAGAAGAAGCTCATGCTGAATCTGGATCGCACGATCCGCAGGACCATCCTCGACAGCTTGGCCCAGACGGGAGCGGAGTTGAAGCAGGGCCGGGCGCCACCCACGCACATGGAGCGCGAGCTGCAGGAGTGGCTGGATGCCTTCACCGACATGTAAATCCTGCAATCGTGGCCAGACTGATCGGCGCGGCCCGAGGTGACTTCGACGGCGACGACACCACACAGACCAATGAGATTGTGCGCAACTCTGGCGGCATAGTACATGATACTGATATGGCTCCCCTTGGCAATGAGCGAGTTTGTCGATCATTGTTGACTTCCCGCGCACCTACTTCGTCTTCCTCACCCAGATCTCCGACCTGACGGGTGACCTCGGTTCCGAGCGCTACCCGCCCTACCTCCCGACCTGCCCGACCCTCGACTGCGACCACCGCGCCCCGATCGGCACCTTTAACTCCTTCGACGGCGCGGCGACCCAGAACTCGTTCCCCTAGGCGGGGTGAGCCCACTTCTTCGACGGCTGAGTTTTGGGAAGCTAGAAGACGTGAGGCCCCCGATTCGGTTTGCGTAAACACATACCTTGCTAGACGGGGGGTCCTAAAAAAGGCCACCCTATGTATCAGAGTCTTTTTCAGAGCTGCCAGATTTTAAGTTTCGCCAGGAAGGAATTCGAGCAGTTTGAGCGTTGATGTGGGTCCTGGGGCCTCTCCCCTCGCCTGCTGGGCCCCGTTTTGGGTAATGCGTTCCCGAGATGGCCTCTGGGGCAGAGGACGCTAGCCTTCGGCGTAAGCCTCGGAGGCACCCTTGCCCTGAGCCTGATCCCACTTCCTGGGGTTTTCCTCCGAGCCTTGTTTCAATTCGAAACTTTGTCAGACTAGAGGCTCCGCGGAGTTCCGATCCGATCCGATCCTCCCTCCTCGTCTTCGTCTTGCCGTACGCGTACCTCATTCTCCTCGTCTTCCTTGACACGCGGTCCCTACGCTCGTCTCTTCCTCGTTTTCCTCCTCCTCCTCCTCCTCCTGCACCGCCCTGTCCAGGTAAGGAGGAGGATGGTAGGGTGTGCCCCGAGCCAGGTATGCAAAGTGAGCGGCCTACGCAGGAGCCTTGCGCGGCATGGACGGGCGGACGCAGCACGGAGCGGAGAGTTTGTCCTCTGCTTTCCTTGCCTTCCCCGGGAAACGGGCAGCCTTCGGACGCCTGAGCCGAGGGAGCAGAGGAAAGATGAGGAGGAGGACGAGGGAGGAGAAGGGTCTTCCTCATGCCAGACACGCAAGCGCGCAGGCTCATGCCCATAACGAGGAAGAGGAGGATCTTGCGTATTGGAAACGCCGGTCGCGGCGGAAGGTCGTAACCGAGGGCAAGCAGGAAATCTAGCAATGGGCGAGGGCGAGGGGACATGCTCCTGCTATCCAGGAGGAGGAGGAGGAGGAGGAGGAGGAGGAGGAGGAGGAGGAGGAGAAGGCGAGGATGAGAAGAGGGAGGAGGAGGAGGAGGAGGAGGAGGAGGAGGAGGAGGAGGAGGAGGAGGAGGAAGGCGAGGGGGAGGGGGAGGGGGAGGACGGGGAGGAGGAGTCGAGTCGAACTCCGAAGCCGACAGTGACAGCGACAGGAGGAGGAGGAGCAGGAGGAGGAGGAGGAGGAGCAGGAGGAGGAGGAGGAGGGTGACGACGACGACGTCGTCGACCTCAGAGGCCTCCGGAGGTCTGACGTCTCCGGAGGCCCAGCTCCAGAGGTCTCCAGAGGTCTCATCCTGAAGCCTCTGAAGGGCCCTGATGGTTTTCGTGTGCCAACCGAAGACGGAAGGAAAGGGCCGAACAGGTCCGACATCTTTGTGACGCCGAAAATCCTGGATGCTCGAGTCTGGAGTCTCGACGCTCGACGAAGGCTCTTCTCTCCTCGCCCCTCCCTGCTCGAGGCCCCCCCTCCACGCGAGGAGGGCGAAGCTGCCTCGGACGTCGGCGCTGAGGCGCCCCGCGCGACGACCAGGCAGGCCTCGGCTGCCAAGGATCGACCGCCCAGGAGAAGAGAGCTTTCCTCCTCCCTTTCTCCATCTCTCCCTCCCTCCTCCCTTCCATGTTTATCTCCTCCCTCTCCCCATTCCTCCCTTCCTCGTCCTTCCTCCCTCCCTCCCTCCCTCCCCCTCTCCCTTTTCTCCTTCCTGCCTCCTCCCTTTCATTTCCTGCCTCCTTCCCCCCCCCCTCCCCTCTCCTCGATCGTCATCTTCCTTGGGGACGCTAGGCCTCCTCCTCCTCCCCCATCCGCCTCCTCTTCCTATTCATCCGCTTTCTCTGTTTCTTCTTCTTCCTCCTTCTCCTCCCCCTGCCCCACCCGTCCCTCCGTTTTCCCTCCATCGGGAATGGGTGCCCAGAGGCGCTATTGGCGGCCTCACTTCCTCCAGCGCCATGGGGTCAGGATGATGCGATGCCACTAAACAGTTTCTTCACGTTACGGTTGGCGTTTCCAACAGGTGCGCAGATGATGTGCGTTTCGACTTCGTAGCCGGGACTCTGGGTTTCGATTCTCCTACGTTGCATGAGAGTTTTAATTGGAGCAGATGCGGCACCCTATGACTTTGAACATGGGCATTCCGATGACAAATTTTTTCTGGGTTCCTCCAATGCAAAACGCCCTTTGGAATGAGAGACCCTTACGCTTCACCTTTTCTCCAAAGCTTGCCCTTTCCCCAAAAGGCTGATGGATGGAGCGCGGTTCTCGCTCGAAACCGGGCTTTGCCTTCTGCGCCGTGCACATGTATAAAGCTATGTGTCAGGAAACATTGAGATCTGGTCAGCGGTGCCGTGCACCTATCTAAAGCTATGTGGCACAAACAGTTGGATCTTGGTCAGCATGCATATAGGAGGACCCGTCAACATTGTTGCAGTTTTTTTCTGCCATGTCCAGCATTTTCCCGCCTTCACCAGCCGCTACAACAAAAGGTTTGCTGTTACAGGGGCAGGAGCGTGGGGATTACAGTTGCTGGGCGTAGATCTTTTCTAATGGTGCTATATGTGCAAAATGGAACAACCATTGTAGGTATGGCCCCGATCCGTCTCATTGGGCCGACGCCGCGTCCGTAGACACGCACTACTGCGACACATCGCATCGGTGACAGCAAGCTTCTGCCATACGCTATTCGGTGCAGCGGCGGGTCAGTACAATGAGCCGTGGCATGTGGCATTCGGAAAACATCTGCTGATTTTAATAAGGTGTGGACAAGGGTGGCTTCTAGGTTCCGAGACAGCACCATGACACCCCATTTCGTTCACCTAACAATGCCATGTTTGGGCAGCAGACCGACACTGAGCAGCAATCGGTACATATATTTGTTGTACGAACAGCGTTTGCAGGCCAAGAGACATGTTATATTGATGTGACGCACTCGTCAACGCACCCCGTCTCTCCAGTTCTGGATCTCGCCGCCATCAAAATACGCTACGGCTCAGATATCGACGGCTTCCTGGCGAGACCTCCTTAGCAGCGTTCTATCTCGAACAATATGAGGTCATTCAGAACGCACCCCCGAGAATGGTCATACGGGCATCGAGTCGGAGGGGCAAGCTCCTGCTGCTTAGGTGCCTGCACCATAGTTGGAATTCAGAGCCGTTTGACATGGCTGGTGGACTACAATAGTCGACGCACGGCTTCCCAACACACGCAAAGGCCATCGGATTCTCTCACATCCCAGTGTGGTTTCGCTTGTCAAAAACGTTCGTGTCCAGACAGACGCGTTCGTTTGTGCCTGCTCTTTCCGCCGTCTTACCGTTCGGGCTCAGGACCCGCTGCTTAGGCCGTTGGGTGAAGCCTTCGAGGGGGCCTCGTCCCGGGCACTCGTGGCTTCGGCGTCCGGACGGCCCAGCGAGGCCCTGGATATTCAAGGCCTCTCGGGCGCGCAGCTCGCGCGCGTCTGGCGCTGCTGCCCGAGCCCGAGGAGTTGGAGCTCGCCCTGTCGCAGGTGGCCGAGGCCGCGGGCCCGTCACTGGAAGAACCCCGGCCCCCGCTGGCGAGGGGGGCCGCTGCGCAAAGGCCTCCGCGGCGCGGTGCGCCAGCCGCAGCTGGCGATCCTGCTGGGCGCGGCCCTCGTGGAGGGATGCCCCTCTGCCGCGGGGGCCAAGGCGCCGGTTGGGGCGCGCTTCGTGAGGCGCTGCCGCTCCGTGGGCGAGCGGGGGCGAGGGCTGCTGGAGTCGCGCGAGTGGTCGCGCTGGCGACCGCGCCCCCGCTTCATCCTCGAGGAGATGGGCGCCCCCGTCCTCGAGGTGCGCGAGATTGCCGCGATCCCGAGCGTGCCCTCATCGGGGTCGCGGGCTGCGCGCGGCCCAGCGAGTCCTTGCGCGGGTGGCTGCTGCGGGCTCGCGGTGCCCCTGAGCCGAGGTGCGTGATTCATGTCTTGGGCTACTTGCGCGCACGGGTGGCAGGGCCGCCCTCGCGTTGGCCGAGGCGACGGCTGGCGCCCCCGAGGGCGAGCGCTTCGGCGGCCGCGCGGAGATCCACGAGGCCTTCTGGAGCGCCGCCGAGGTGGAGCTTGGGGCTGGCAAGGGCCCAACGCCAACGGCAGCCATGTTCCCCGCGGAGTTCGTCGGCGCGCTCGAGCGGATGGTCAGCGAGGCGGGGCCCCCGCGGCTCGCCTACTGCGGCGGGCCGCGGCGGCCCTGCAGCAGCGATGGCGAAGTGACCTCGACAGCGCGAGCCGAGGCCGGAGGCAGCCCTCGAGCCCAATCGCCTGAAGTTGCCCCGATGGAGCGGGGGGGCCGCCCGAGCGGGCCCCACTCGGACGCGCCGCGGAGCTCCGAGGGAACGGCGGCCAGCAGGTCCAGCCCAGCACCTGTATGCAGTCGCTGAAGTTGATCAGGCTGCGGACTCTGGCGCGATCTCCCCCATCCATGTGCTCGCGAAGCCCCCCCTGATGCCCGTCGCCCTGCGGGCGGGGCCGCGCCTCGCCAGCGCGCGCCCGCGGCGCTCGCGGGCGGCGCGCGAGCGTTCGCGCAGCTGGCGCGCTCGGCACGGATCGCATCGGCGGGGCCCTGGGGGGGAGTGTTGGCTGCTGGGGAGAAGGATCCCCGCTTCCGCCGGTGGGCGCTCGCCCGCGGGCGAGGTCCCGTCGCGCTCCGGACGCTCCGCCTCCTTGGGCGGCGGGGGGTGTCTCGGGCAGGATAGGGCGTCGCCTGGAGGAAGCACCCCGCGGCTGGGGGCGGGGATTTCGGCCCCTCCGAGCGTCGTCGGGCCTCGCCCAGGACGCGCCCCGTCCGTGCTGAGGGCCGACGGGCTTCCATTCAATTCCTGGGCGTCCTGCGTATGTCCGCGCGACCACGACCGCTGGGCGGCCAACCTCGGTCGGGCGGACAGGCGGATCCCGGGGCGAGGGGGGGCTGCTCGCCCCCATCAGGGGCCCCGGTGCGCATCGCTCGGGGGCAGGTCAGCACCTGCCCGACTTCTGAGCGACCCCCATCCGCGGGGGCGGAAGCGCGGCAGTCTCGCCCGCCGTCATCCGCAGGGGAATCGCCCACTCCTGAAGGAAGCACCGCGTCTCGGTGAGAAGGCCCGCTGGCCCCGGCATCTCGCCCGCGACGTCCAGTTCCGAGCCTGCTTCAGCCAGGCGCCCCTGGCCTGGTCCGGCAACCGTGGCCGGGGGGCGCCGCCGACGGCGCTGTCGCCGCAGGGGCAGCAGAAGGCGCTGGAGAATGCCAGCTCGGACCTCCGCTTCTCGCTCGCGAGGGCCAGCGCGAATTTGCGCGCGCAGGGCTTGGCGGCCGCGCCATCCCGGGGGGGCGGTGCTCGGCAAGTTCGTGGCCGCGCTGGCCTCGGCCGACGACGTCTGGGCCTTCTCAGCAGATCAGCTCGGGTGCGACGCTGCCACGGGCGCGGCAGCGCGCGCGCGCAGGTCGCGGCGCTCGCGCGCGGCAGGCGGCCCGCGCGGGGAGTTCGGCCGGCCGTTGCTGGCGCCGCCCCAGGACCGGGCCGCCGGCGCCGGCGCCGCGGCCGCAGCGGGCGACGCTGGACAGACGGCGCGAATGTCCAGCGACCCCGTAGCGAAGCAGGAGGAGCTGGCGGCGGAGACCGCCAGCGGCCGCCCAGCTACGATGGTGGCCATCGGGCCACGGGGCCCTCTACACGGGCCCTCCGCCGCGCGCGTTCGGGAGGAAGCGGGGCGTTCAGGGGCCGGCGAACTCCCGGGGCCCGGCTGGGCTCGCGGCCAAGGGTGGCGCGGGGGGCCATGCCCGTCGGCGCCAGACCGAGTTCAGGCTTGGCAGCGCGAGCATGCCGGCATCGAAGAGGGGTTCCCCCGGATTCGTGGGCGAGTTGCCCAGCCACTTGCCCTATTCGGCTGGCTCGGGGTTAGCAGACAGCCCGAGCGGGCTCGGCGCGATCCCCAGGGTCGCCGCGGCAAGCTGGACGCAGGTGGTGACGCGCGGCGCGCTCGGCAAGCGGCCCCAGGATCGTTCCGGCGGCGCCGCGGCCGCGGCGGGCGACTTCGGATGGGCGGCGCGAACGTCCGTCAGCCCCGCGGAGGCCGAGTCGGCGGCGGAGATCGCGAACGGGCGCCCGACGGGAAGGGAGACCGTAGGGGCGCGATCCCTGGGCGAGCTGGCAGGCCCCTGGGCCCTGTGCGTTGGCCCCCCGCAGCGCGCCTTCGGGGGTGAGATCGGCGCCCTGGCGCTCGGGGCCGCCGGGGGCCCCTGGGGCCTATGCCCCAGCGGCGTCGTCGCCACTTGCGCGCGCCACTTGGCGACTGAGATAAGGCGCGGACGCGTGTCCCTGGGAGCTCCTGCCCCAGAATATCTCCAGCGGCCTGGGGGCGGTGGTGCGCCCCCTCGGCGAGCCTGAAGTTTGCGAACGTCCCCAACGGAGTGGCCGCTATGTCGAGGGCGCTCCTGTCCGGCGGGTTGCGCGTCGCATTATTCGCGTCTGCGCTCCGGGGAGTTCGGCACCCGCAATTGCGCGCCTCGCTGGGCCAGAAGTTCGGGGGCGCCCATAATTGGCGGGCCGCCCTGTCAAAGGCCCTCCATGGAGGGCCGGACCCTGCGGAAGGGAAGACGCGGGTCTCTTCAGACCCACCAGAGGAGCACTCCAGCCGAGAGTGGCAGGCGCTGAGGTCAGAGGAGCAGGGGCCGGGGCCTTCCCAAGTTTTTTTTTTTTTTCGGAGCGCCTTGGCGGCCCCGGGCAGTTCCCGGGCCCAGCCCCAGCGTGCGCGTCAACGCGTGTCCCGAGCACTTCCATTGGCCCGGGCGTTTGCCCCCTTCGGCGGGCCCGAAGTTCGCGCGCGCCCCTGACGGAGCGAACGCCTCGTCGGAGGTGCCCTTGCCCCGTCAGTTGCAGGTCGTGCCGCCCGCGGGCCACGGGGAGTTTGGCGCCTGCAGCAGCGCGGCCCTTCCGGGCCAGAAGTTCGCGGGCGTTCCCGACGGTCGAGCCGAAGGCGCCCCTGTCCGGTTGGCTGCGGGCCGTGCTGTTCGAGGGCTGCCGGGAGTTCGGCACCCGCATCAACGCGGCACCTCCGGGCCGTCGGCCCTCCGAGGGGAGCTCGACCCATGAGCGAGGGGGAATGGTGAGCGCCCGGAGGAAGGGCACGGCCCGCGCGCCCTGGGGGCGGAGCGCGGGCGGGGCCGGGGTCGAGGACCGGGGGTCCTCGCGCTAGATTGCTGAGCGGGCGGCCCCCTGCCAGCCTCGGCCCGACTGTCTGCTGTCACCCCGGCCAGGGAAGGGCCCGGTCGGCCCTGGCCGCGCCCGGGGAGGGGGCCAACCGCGCAATGGGCCAACGGCTGCTTCAGTTTCTCGGGGCAGCGGCCCACGTTCGTCAGCCGCGGGCGCGCGGCCTCCGGAGGAGCCCCTGCGCCGGCCGCGCGCGGGCGGCTCCTCGGAGCTCCGGCACGGAGTGCGCGCCCGGGGCCAGCGCGCCCTCAAGTGGCGTATAGCGGAGGCGCCGCCCACCCGCGGTTATAGGACTTCGGGGGGCGCGCGCGCGCGCGGCCGCGGGGCAGGGCGGCGCCCGTTTCGGGCGCGGGGGGAGCGGGTCCAGACGGATTCCCCCCGAGCGTCCGCCAATGAATGCGCCCGCTCCCCCCGCTTTGCCCCTCCCTGCGTAGAGCATCGGAACTGTCTGGCGGAAGTTGATTCAGTTCGGGTGTATGCCCTTCAACGGGGCAAGTTCCCCCATGCCGTTCTCTTCTCTTCTCCTCTTCTCCTTCTCCGCAGCCGTCAGCTTAGGTTGCGCGACCTTTCCTTCGCGCCCGCCCCGCGGGAGGCGGGGCGCCCGCGCCCGCGAAGGAGGCGTGGGTCCAGACGGGTTCATCCCGAGCGTCCGCCAATTAATACGTCCGCGCCTCCTGCTACTCCCCCCATGCGTAGAGTATCAGGATCGTCTGGAAGAATTGAAATGATGCTTGTCTTCCCAAAGGAATTCAGCTTCTACTACTATTACGACTACTGCTACTACTACTACTTCTACTTCTATTTCTACTTTTACTTCTACTACTACTCCGACTACGACTATTACTACTACTCCAACGACTACTACTACTACTACTACTACTACTACTACTACTACTACTACTACTACGACTACTACTACTACTACTACTACTACTACTACTACTACTACTACTACTACTACTACTACTACTACTACTACTACTACTACTACTACTACTACTACTACTACTACTACTACTACTACTACTACTACTACTACTACTACTACTACTACTACTACTACTACTACTACTACTACTACTACTACTACTACTACTACTACTACTACTACTACTACTACTACTACTACTACTACTACTACTACTACTACTACTACTACTACTACTGCTACTACTACTACTACTACTACTACTACTACTACTACTACTACTACTACTACTACTACTACTACTACTACTACTACTACTACTACTGACTACTACTACTACTACTACTACTACTACTACTACTACTACTACCTACTACTACTAACTACTACTACTACTACTACTACTACTACTACTACTACTACTACTACTAACTACGACTACTACTACTACTACTACTACTACTACTACTACTACTACGACTACTACCACCGCTACTACTACTACTACTACTACTACTACTACTACTACAACTACTACTACTACTACTAGTACAACGATTACGACTACTACTACTGCTGCTACTACTACTACTACTATGACTACTACGACGACTATTACTACTATTTCTACTACTAATATTTCTACTACTACTACTACTACTACTACTACTACTACTACTACTACTACTACTACTACGACTACTACTACTACTACTACTACTACTACTACTACTACTACTACTACTACTACTACTACTACTACTACTACTACTACTACTACTACTACTACTACTACTACTACTACTACTACTACTACTACTACTACTACTACTACTACTACTACTACTACTACTACTACTACTACTACTACTACTACTACTACTACTACTACTACTACTACTACTACTACTACTACTACTACTACTACTACTACTACTACTACTACTACTACTACTACTACTACTACTACTACTACTACTACTACTACTACTACTACTACTACTACTACTACTACTACTACTACTACTACTACTACTACTACTACTACTACTACTACTACTACTACTACTACGTAGCATTTGGCGCGTAACGGTCGCTAGCCAGGCAAAACCCTTCCCCCCCAGGCAACGGGAACGATAGCACGTGGGGGGGGGGGCACACATGCTGGTGTTCACGCGCATACGATGGCGATCGCGGCGCACCCCCGTCCTGACGTGCCCCACCCCGCCCAAGCGTTACCCTTACCTGGGTCCTCAGACCCCCCGGGTAACGACCAATACCGCAAGCAATTGAATTGCCCCCCCATCATGCACCGCCCGATCCCCGAGGAGCAGCCCCGGCGGCAGGACCCCGCGGACTGGTGGCCGCCGCTGCCTGCCGCCTCGGCGGGCGCGGCCTCCTCTGGCCGCCGCTGGGCGCCCGCGCTGCGAGGCGAGCCGCCGACGGCCGCCCCACGCCGCTGGCCGTCGAGTCGCCGCCGCCGCTGGCCGTCGTCGCCGGCCGTCGTCGCCGCCGACGGCCGCCGCCTCTCGCCGATGGCCGTCGTCGCCGCCGCCGCCGCCGCCGCTCGTCCTCGTCGCCGCACCTCGCCGCCGCACGACGCCGGCCGCCACCGCCGCCGCCACCACTCGCTCTCGTCGTCGCCTCGCCGCCGCCCGTCGCCGCCGCCGCCGCCCGCCGCTGGCCGTGGTGGTCGGTTTCGTCGTCGCCCTCCTCGTCTACCCCGTTGCTGCTCGAGCTTCGTCGAGGGGGGGGGTAGGAGGGGGAATCGCAGCAGAAGAGGCGGAAAAGGAGGAGGGGAATGAGTGAAGGGAGGGGGGTGGGGGAAGTTGATGTTGGAAAGAAGGGGAGTAAGAGAGGGGAGAGGTGGCGGAGGAGGTGGAAGAGGGGGATGCTGAGGGAACAGAAGGGGAGACCGAGGAATTACAGGAGGAACATGGGGTGGAGCGGGAGGATGATACGTACTTGGGAGGAGCTCCTCTTCCTCCCCATCCTCTCCCCGTTCCTCCATCCTCCACCTCTGTCCTTTTCCATATCCTTCTTCTTATCCGACTCATCCGGCTCGCTCTGGGGTCGCTGCGCCTCCTGCTCCTCCTCCCCCTCCCCCCTGGCTACCCCCCCCTCCGCTTTTCAGTACATACTTGCGTTGCTTGCTTCAGCGCGGACGTCGTTCACTGCTGCTCTGCCAGCTCAAAGCACACTAGATTATGAACACTGCTTAATGCAATCGTCGTGTCGCTGGCTGGATGTTGCTCCCAGAACACGGAGCGGGAACTTCTCCTCTTCCTCCTCCACCTCCGTTTAATCTCAGGAGGTTCCAGCGAAGGCAGCCGTCTTCCAATATTTCTCTCACGTCAGGAGCCCGATGACATGTTTCAAAATACAGCAATCTGCATACGGTTGATGCTGCTCCCCCCTTCTCGTCCGCCGCGGCACGGGCGCCTCCTGCGTTGGGAAGCGCCAGGGATAAACAGCTGCATGCGGCCGATAATTTGGTGCTCCCAATTCTCGCCCGCCCCGACAGCGGCGCCTCCGGCGCCTGGCGGCGCCAGAAGAAATCGCCTGCATGCAGCGCTTTCGTGATCTGTCCGCTTTTTGCCTCTCAACGAAAGGAGGTGGCAAAATCGGGGGGGGGGGGGGCGCGCAGAGTCTCCGTCGCTCGAAGGTCCCTCTCCGCTTGCGGATCTGGTTGTGCCCTGAGGCTCGTGTTGTAATCTTCTTATCTGGGCAGGGCCGGGGCCACTCCCCCGGAGTGCCACACGTGGTGCAAGCTATCGTGTTCAATCTAAGTTCTGCACGAGAGCGCACGGCCTGGATGGCGCCGCCACACATTCTTCATAGCTGCGCCGCTACGCCGTTGTGTGGAAGCAGCAGCAATGACAGATCTGGGGCGATCGTTAGCTGTAGGAGAGAGTTTCGCATGCATCAGGTCGTCCGATTTGGGACGATTGTGAGTTTGAGCATGTTGAGGTACATGTTGAGGTACATGTTAGATATCATAAGAATGCGAGCTTGAGGAGCCAGGTGGGCATATCGAGGCACAGCGGAGATATCGCAAGCATCCGAGCTTGAGGAGTACATTTTCTCATGAATGAGGTCGTTCGGCCTGGGGCGATAGTGAGCTTGATTTGAGAGAATGGAGGGGCCGCTAGACAGGGCGTGCCCTCACTATCATCCCCCATGAACAGGCCCCGAGTTGGGGTTTTCACCGAGCTCAAGGATTTTTCTCCATAGGACAGATTCTCCAACCCCGTAGGGCTGTCGAATGGTGGTTTGGCCGCTGGTGGACGTGAGTGCTTGGTCAGGTCAGTGATCCATCTCCCCTCCCTTGGGGAGAGTAGGCGGAGTGGAGGAGGAGGAGGAGGAGGTCTCCATTCCCCGTCTCCCTCACCGTTCCTCACCCTCCCCGGGGGGCAGGCTTCTAGTTTAGGATTCTAGGTTGGCA